TTTTTTTCTCTCTTTTAGAAAAGTATTGTCTTTTGGGTGGTGCTGAGAATGTACACCAGCCCAACAATTTTTGTGTCCAGTTCAGTGACACTGCAGGTTGTGCCGGAACTTGACTCTCACTCTCCTCTCTTGAAAGTGTTCCTCCCTTAGGAACGGAAATCCTGTGCCCCCTGAGTCTCCTCTCTGGTCCGCTGTCACTTTGATCCCAGATGGATAGTTCTTTGAAAAGCACAGTGCTCAAGCTAGGCATTCTTTGCTAATCCATCGAACCCGTTGTGTGTGTTTAAGAAAGTCTCCAGAGGGTGTTTCAGATGGGAGGAACCTCAGCTACCTCACCCTACCCTCTGCGGTTCCTTGGTGAGGGAGTGGAATAGAGCCAGGAGCACACCTGAGTGTTGCTGTTGTGTCCACACTTGGAAATAGTGTGGCGACCCTAACTCATCAACATTCTTCAGTACTCACAGAAACCCTTCCTCAGTTGATTTGCCCTCCCAGTTGTCTGGCCTAACAAGTTAGATACTATTATCATCTCTATTTTACCAATGGAGAAACCACAGCTTGGGCATGCCACCAGCCTAAGATTCACATGCATGGCAAATGGCAAACGTGAATGTTGGTAGGTAGATAGCCCGATTGAGAACCCGAGGGTCTCTGGAGCCTGCTGCATAAGTGCTGTGATAGTCAGCACAAGGGCTCCTCAGAGCATCTGGAAAACATCAGAGCCAGTCCCTGGACCCCCCAGGTCACATGTTGGACTGTTAAGTGCAAGGTCAGCAGCTGCTTGGCAGCACAAAGACGAAGTTTTATGCTCCAATAAAGCTTTCCAGCCTCGGAAACCCACAGGGTCGCTATGAGTCAGAATCAACGCAATGGCTGTGCAGATCCCATCTATCCTTAGTTCTTGAGGACTGATCCTGAAAGGGCTTTTGTGAGTGTGTGTTGTTAGCAATATTGGCACCGTAAAAATTAAAACTAAGGATTCCTAGAAAGGAGGGAACCGATTACATGGAACTGTGTGTGACCTCCTCCCTGGGGGACAGACAACCGAGGGGTGGATGAAGGGAGACGTCGGACAGGGCAAGATATGACAAAATACCCATTTATAAACAACAGGGGCTCATGTGGGAGGGGGGAGCGGGGAGGGAGGGGAAAAATGAGGACCTAATGTCGGGGGTTTCAATGGAGAGAAAATGTTTTGAGAAATGATGTACAAATGCGCTTTACACAATTGATGTGTGTATGAATTAGGATAACAGTTGTATGAGCCCCTAATAAAATGTTTTAAAAAAAAAGTACTTACTTAAAATAGCACATAAACCTGTTATGAGTTGTTTTGCGTTACATTTTTGTGTGTGTGAAAAATGAGTATTTTTCAAAAAGACCAGTCATGTCATTCTCAGCCTCCTTCAAAGTATCATTTGAGTGGAGATAATGTGAAGAAATGGGCCTCAGGCAAGTAAGTCCTTGGGCATATTTAATGCCCTGATATTCCGCCCAAACTCAACAAGTGGCCCTTTCTTCAAGGTTAGCCAACCCATATTCATGAAGCTTCCATGTGCTTGATGTTCCAAGTCATTGGTCTGTCTTGCACTGTGAAAAGATCTTTTACATAGCTCCGTGCATGATTTTGTTGTAACCTCAGCCACTGGTCATTTGAAAAAGAATGTGTTTTTTGAATTTATGGGCCCCGATGGTACTATTGGGTGAGCCATGGGCTACTCGGGTCACAGTCTAAACCCACCAGCTGTTCTAGGGAGAAAGATGGAGCTGTCGGTTCCTGTAAAGATCCACGGAAACTATATATAGGTTCCTTAGGATATGAGTGTGGGTTTAAGGCCTTGGGCTATGCGAATGCATCGGCAGTTGTACCTTTAGAGAAGAAATACACCAGCACATAACATAATGTACTCATTTCTTCCAGTATACACTGAACGGGTTTTCCGTGCAGCGCTGCGCCGCCAATGGCACACTCCGCTACAGGACGTTGTCTGCCTCAGAAAGAAACCTTACCCGTAGCACTCACTTCTCGTTTGCTTGCCTCAAGGCGCCTTAGCTCCAGGCAGCCGCCAGTTTCTGTGTTTTAATCCTACTAGGACTTTTCAAACTGGGAGTCAGGCATGTGTGTTTGGGGTGGGGGTGGGGGTGTGGGTGGTACATTTCAGACCATCAATTCTGCATTCAACGTGAGACTGCTCGCTGACCCCCGATTCCTCTTCTCCGCCAGGGCTACTCTTGATGGCTCTGCAGTGGCCTGCTCTGGACATGTTGTATAAAGAGCATCTGCAGGGGCTGCTCCATTGTGTCTGGCTTCTGCCACACGCCATGTTTTTGAGGTTCATGGAAGGTGTGCGTAGCACATGTCAGGACTTTGGTCATTTTAAAAGCTGCCTAATCGTACTCCATTTTAATGGAATACTATTTGGGTTGTGTCCATTACATGGCTACATTGTATTTCTCCAATCAACAGCTGGACATTGGGAGTTGCTTCTGCTTTGAGGCTATGCTCTGACCCTGTGGGCAGATGCTTTGACTTCTCTTGGGTGTGTCATTAGGACTGGCATTATTGGGCCATATAGCACCTCTCTTTGGTATCTTTTCAGGAATAGCCAGACACTGACTTTCCACCCGCAGTGTATGAGGGTTCTCACCTTTCCACATACCTGCCAACATCTGTGGGTTTCTTTTTCTGCTTCTAGCCATTCTGGTGGGGTTCGCATTTGGCTTTGGATTGCATCTCTCTGATGGCTAACATGCCCATATTTGTGCCACCAATGCCCAGTGAAAAGGCACATCATGCCTGTGAGCTATGATGAAGATATGCTGATGTAGCAGTTCCCTCCAAAGGGACACTAGGTCCCTCAAGTGTCAGCAGAGTCACTCATCACTGGAGTAGAAGGCTGGGGGAGTTGGTCTCAGTGGTGCTCTTCTCCTTGTTTGGGCAGCAGAGTGGCAGTGCCATGAAGAGGATGTTGGGTGGTAGTGGGGAACACTTGGGCCAGCGGTGACACTGGCCCAATGAGGTGGTTCCCAATGGGCATTCTGGCAGTTGATTGGAAAATACAACAGTCATGATTAGTGTTAAAGCTAGTGATTGCCTAGCTCTGAGGAGCCCTGGTGGCATAGTGCATTACTAGTTGGGCTGCTAACCAGAAGATCAGCAGTTCGAAACCACCAGCCACTCCTCAGGAGAAAGATGAGACTTTCTGCTCCCATAAATAGTTAGGAAACCCCCAGGGTAATTCTCCCTCTTGTGTAGTGTCACTATGAGTCGGCAGTGAGTTTTGGGTTTTAAGCAGTGATGGCGCTAGACCAGGGCAGTCACACGACTGGCTTTAAATCCCTCCTACTAGGAAGGGGGACAGAGGCGGAAGGAGGGCACCTGAGATGATGCCGCAGTCATGCCTCTGCATTTGGCTCCTAAAATGACCTTGCAAGTGAGCATGTGATTCCCACTCGACAGATGAGAAAACGGAGTATTCAGTGTCCTGCTAACTTATCAAACTACAAGGCTGGAAATAAACTGCAAATGCCAGTGTATGAAAGGAAACAAATGGAATGGTTTTGTTTTTGTTTTGTGTGTTTCCTTAACAAAACAGAAGTGTGGAATTTAGGAGATTAAAAACCAAAAAGCTCCTTTCAACAGAGGAGCTGTGTTCCCTGCTTTGGAAACTAGGTGGATAGTCATGAATTGGCTGGACTCTCCTACCCTTGGCTTGATTTGAATCACACTGAAGCTCTGGCTTCTTGTGGATATGGCTTTTGTCTTGGAAGCTGGTGCTGATCCTGTTAGCTTGGGTCTGACTGATGGTTTCTAACCATGTGTAGTTATTAGATTCAGAACAAATGCCAGCCGTTGGAAGCGCTCTGCTTTCTGAGTAACGGAGAGCATTCAGTGGAACCTTATCGAACCCAGGAATGTAGACCATCTTTTTGCGTGACATGGCCTTCTGCTCTGTGTGGGAATGTATCTTGGGTGTGTCGTTAACAGGTGCTGGGGGCTGCACACCTGCAGAGCCCTCGGATGACGGGAAGGGGAATCTATGTTAACACCGTCTATAGGAAGGAGTAATGAATAGATGAAGGATTGAATCATAGAAACGGGATCAGGAAATGATTAGAAGGGCACTCATAGGAGTGTTCCTACTTGGCTTCCAAGATCCAGTAAAGTTTTCAAAGCACGAGGTGGAGACTTTAGCACCATAACAAATGTAATAGCAGGTGACAGAGTAAGAGGCAATGTGTGCAACAGCGTACCGCAGACAGAAACTCCCAGAGATTGTTCACAAGTCCCTGGAGTCCTTGAACAGTAACCCATGCTTAATGTGCTTAGCTGTAAGAAGCTCAACTCCACCCAGAGGTGCCTCATAAAAAACCCTGCTGATCTGTCTCCAAACAGTCCCCCCCCCCCCCCCCCCCTGGGAAGCTGGAGCACAGACTTAGCGCTCTCACTCAGGGCCATCCTGAGTCCTAATCGACACTGGGGAGCTCAAGGGACTGTTAGCGCAGCAATAGAGCACACTGTCTGTGCCCCTAGTGTGTTGTCATCGTCAGGTTTGGTAAGACCACACACTGCGCCCTCGCCCCTTGACTCTAGATGCTTACCCTGTTGACTTACCCGGGGGCTCCCATGTGTGCCCTTGGCCCCAGGAGAGTGCTGTGTCCCTGAGTGTGATTAATCTTCTCACTGTACGGAATGCTGCTGAAGACAGTCTCAGGACTGCTGGGGATGTTTTAAAAATGGGGTTTTCCGTAGCATCAGCCAAGGCTGGGGTTCCGGGAGAGACTGTGCCTCCATGCTTAGGGTGAGGAGGCCCCTGCATGTTTCAGCAGTGGTGTTTGGACCTGGGCTTTCCTGGGGAATGGTAGCCCTCTGTGCTTGGCCAGCATGCTCTCTCTCTCCGAGCCCGCTTGTATTGGGAGCCTGGGTTCTGTGGTGCTGGCGGCAGTGGCAGCCGCACACTAACGCAATGACTTTACTCTTCCGTTTTCTCCCCCTACAGTGTTCAATGGCTCCACCAGGTCATCACGAGAGAAGGAGCCCGTCCAGAAACACAAGAGCAAAGAGGCCACTCCAGGGAAGGAGAAGCACAGCGACCACCGGGCGGACAGCCGTAGGGAGCCTGCCTCTGCGACCCACCCCCCTACAGCCCCCTCCTCGGGCTCCTCTGCCAAGGGGCTCGCTGCTAACCACCATCACCCCCCTCTGCATCGGTCGGCTCAGGACTTACGGAAACAGGTAGGACCAGCCCTGCTAGGGACTAGACGGTGGCTTGGCAGGGCCGGGGTGCCTGTGTGTGCACACGCTGCTGTCACTTCCCATTGGCCAGTTAACTTGGGGTTTTGGAAGCCGCTTGCTGCTCAGGGAGAGAATAGGTGATGGGGACGAGTCTGCCCTTTGAGTACCACACTACAGACTTGCTCTAGGCTTTGCCGTGGCCGGGAAGGGCAGAGGCGGGACTTGGTTTCCTTCACCACCCCTTCTCCCATGCTCTAGGTAGAGCCAGGTGCCACGTGGCTTTGTAGAGTAATGGAAAATATTCCCTCTCTCTGCCGACAGACTCGGGGTTAGGCATTGTCAGGGGGCCCTCCTGGGATATGGGCCACATTCTCGTGAATGTGACAGTTTTCACGGGGCCGAGGACACACTCAGCAACTTTGGGTGGTCTCTGCACTGTTCAGCAGCCCCCCCAGTGATTGCTGAGTCAGTGCTCAGGTGCGCCCAAGGCACAGCCACGGGGTGGTTTCCCACAGCCCTGCGAGGCAGGCAGTGCACACAGAGCCCCACGGTAACAGGAGCCTTCGCCGCGCCATGGCTCTGGCTCCTCAGATCTGGGGGGCACTTGTGAGGCTCAACGGGATGCCATCCCATTGCGTTGCCCATGCTGTAACTATGCTTTGTAGGAAAGGCCCTTGTGGTGACACAGTGGGCTGCTAACTACAAGGTCTGCAGTTTGAAACCACCAGCAGAAGGAGAAATGGGGGTGAATACATAAAGAGTTAGTCTCAGTAGCTCACAGGGGGATCAGCATGGACTGGGTGGGAGGGAGCGCAGTTGGGTTTTTGGGAACCTTTGCAGGCATAGATGACTGAGTTTTTCCCCCCCAGGGCAGCTGCTGGGTTCAGATCAGCAACCTGTCCGTACTTCACTGTTGCACCCCCAGGACTTCTGAGCAATCCTACCAGGGACTTTAGCATTTAAAAATGTCCGTGGAAGAAATAGGAGAGCGTAATTCTGATAGGTAGATCTGGGGGCATTGACTGGAATTGATGTGTATGTTTTTTTGACAAGCAGTTCTTTCTTAGTCTTGGTAACATGAGAGAATTTCTCCTTGTGCACATAATTATTTGTTAGACTTTAGCTTTTTGTACTTGAGTGAATTTTATTTTTCCACAAACTTTTTGAAGCCCCCTTGGATTATTCAGCTGCTGAAGTTAAGTTGAAGCCTCATGTGTGTTCCACCATCTTAGGTAGCCCACCTTCCTTGTCTGCAGTGTGGGGTTGCTAGTGGTGGCTTTAACACAGTACAAACACTGGCCATTGCTCGGGGTACAGGCTTGGTCGTGGTCCCAGAGAGAACAGCCAGGGGCGATCGTGGTCTGGCCAGGGTCCCAGATCGTGTGTCTCCTGTCACGGTGCACTGAAAGCCATAGGTGCGGTCACCGTGCCTACCCTTTTCCCCAGTCCCCAGCTGTGCAGAACTCTTCTGCAGAGGCGTTTGTGCAAGAAGGCGAAATGAACAAGGGACAGAAAGACCGACCATAATGTGTTAGTCTGAAACAAATCCAGAGACACTCTAAGTCCGATAGGAGCCCATATGTTCGACACCAGTCTGTAGTCCTCTTCAGACTCACACACGCATGCAGTGATGCCGAAAGCAGGAAGCTCACAGGCCAGTGGGTGGAGGGAGAGTCTTGTGGAAGCGTCTCAGCTTGTGTGGCTCTCCATGTGGCTTCTCCAGCTCCAGGTCTCTGGCTGCCATCAGCATAGCTTCATGTGGTTCCTCAGTCATGACTTCAGGAGCCAGGTCCAAGCAGAGACATCCAGTCAGTCTGCCTTTTCCATGTGGCCGCTGGGGGCTCATTTTCCTAGGCCGATCTGGTGTGATAGTGCAGTGGGGCCATCAATCAGCAGTGGAAGGTGGTTTTGTCTAGCTGCAACATCTTCCCTCCCAACCTCTGAGGAGTGGGAGGCAAGGCTTGCAGGGGCTTAGGGCACAGTGGTGAGCACATGCTCGCACTCTCGTCCTTCACACTCTCCACTTGGCATGGGTGGCTGGATTGTCAACCTCACCACAGGCTCTCACCTCTTGCCCCACCCCACTTAGTTTCCACTTCCCCCTAGTAACTGAAGGTGAGGCTGCTGGCTGGGAGAGGCTGGGGGCCAAGCACAGCCTAGTCCTGGGGGTGTCCTGCCCCCTAGTTGTGTGGTTTGTGTGTATGTGGGGAGCCTGGGATTCGTGCACAGAGCAACCCTCGCCGCCCAGTGTGCCTTCTTGATGCATGCTTGATCACCCTGTGTGTACTTGAGGGTCTCAGCAGGTGTGACTGTGGCAGGTCTGTGTTGCGGTGGCCCCCTCCCCTGCCTCCCTCCCGTATCCTAATTGTAGTGGGACTCTGGCACTGGCTGTTTTACTGCCTGCCCCCTGTTCCCCCTGCGTCCATGTGCTGGCTCCCCCGGCAGGGCGTGGGGAGGAATGAATGGAGTGTGTGGGAGCCATCAGATCCTGTTGGTAAGTGTGCCGAGAACCTGGGCAACAGCAACAATTGCACATTCTCTGTGTCTGGTAGATGCAAATGACTGGATTCTGACCTTTTGTCTTTCCAACCACATAAAAAAGCAGTGGGCCCAGAGAGACTCCGAGGTTCTGTCTCATCTCAGAGAGGGTTTGTTTGTTTATTCTGCGGTAGGGTGACAGAAAGGCGACTGTGAAGCTTGGACGGTTGGCACGAGTGAGCCCTGGCTTCGTTTTCTCTAATGCGACATGGAGGCCCTGTCCCACAGAGCCCCTGCTACCCTGCAGGGCAGTGCTGTGCTGTATGCTGAGACCCTGGGTGGGGTGAATGCTTTACTTGCTTGGCTGCTCACTGAAGGATGGAGGGCCAAGCACCACGGACACTGGCCTGGTCTGCTGTGGGAAAGCTGGCCCTGAGAGCCATGTGGAGCAGGTGCAGGCTGACACACCGCCACCGGAGCATATGGTGGTGCGCTGGGCTGGTGCGTGTTTCTTGGTGTGTGAGGGCATGGGGTGGACTGACTCTTCGTGACATGTCTCTGAAACAATAATGGCGTTGCTGTTGGCCTCCCCTCCACCAGCCTCACCATCAGTTTCGGAGTGGACTGTTAGGATCTGTGCAGCGTTTACCGGCCTCTTTCAGGAGTAATTCAGTAGGCCTGACTTCTAAGTTCACACTAGCCTGGCCCGGCTACTCCCCTGAAACTCTCCCTGGCTTCATGGTGGGTGACCTGTGCCTCCACTGACACATGGGTGCTAGCTGTGTGTGAGGCATTGGCTGGGAGTGGATCCAGGTTCCCCACATGGAAGGTGTAAGCCCCAGTCTTCTTGTGTCTAACAGCAGCCCTGGAATATTCTCTGGGGCATGACCCAGGGCTCCTGGGTGTCATGGTTTCAGTGTGTCGGGTGCCTGACATAGGAGTTGATGAGTGGGTTAAGTTCTGGAAAATGCAAAATGTGAATGCCCAACAGAGGGAGGTGTCAGAAAATGGCACGAGCTATGAAGATGGTGAAGCCTGCTTTCTCACATTCCTCAGAGTCTACTTGCGGTTTGAATGGCATTTGTCTGTCCAGTCATGGTGCTACATTGCTTGGTGTGGAAGCTGGCGTTTTAAAAAGAGCTAAGCTATGGCACCTGCCTTTAAGGCAAGGGAATGCTCACTTACATTGCCCTCATTATTAACGAGAGAGCGCTGGGTGATGCTGAAGGTACTCTGGTGGTGCTGTGTTAGGCATTGGGATGCCAACCATAAGGTTAGCAGTTCAAACCCACCAACCACTCCGAGGGAGAGAGATGAAGCTGTCTGCCCAAGTGGATTTGTAATTTGAGAAACCTTATATTGTGTCGCTATGAGTTGGAATTGACTCAATGGGGGTGGGTTTTCCTTCTTTTTTCGGGGGTGGTGGTAGGGGGAGGTATCATGCTAATGGCTGACACATTCAGCTGCTAGCCAAAAGGTTGAAGGAATGAATCCGACTTGAGACCCCTTAGAAGAGAGGCCAGTGTCCGAATTCTGAGGAATCCAACCAAGAAACCATTTCTGCTCTGATGTGCAGGGAGTTGTCATGTGTTGTGGTTGCCTCAGTAGCCCTTACTTACTGGTTCTTATTCATGTCTGAAGGAAGGGGCCTGCCACACCACGAAGACTTCCTTCCCCAGCTGAGTCTTCATTTAGGCTCCTTTGTTCTTTAGAGTTTTGAAGTCTGAAAGGAAACCAACAAAGAAGTAAAGCTGTCACTCTTTCCCCGGGTGTTTTACTTGGCTGTGCTCCTGTCCAGAGGAAGGCCAGCACCGTTCAGCTCAATGGCGCCCTCTCGTGGGACAAGATCAGCACGACAGCTACCACGGCTGAACCGTGGTCTGAGCATTGATCATGGGTGACCAGAACATTTTCACTTCGTCAACTATGGAGTTGTATGCATGGCATGACCAGAAGCGGTGAAGGTGTGAAAGTATCTCATAGTCTTAAAGCGAGCACATGGTTTTTAAGATCGAGTTTCTCCCGCCAAAGTCAGACTGCAGTGACCCTGTGCATTCCTGCAGCGGCTGCAAGAAGAACTTAGAAACAGTCTGAGACCTTGCTCCCACCATCTACAGAGCAAGGTTATAGAAATTTCAAATGTTCAAGAAGAGTCAAGAAGGAGTGCTGGATAGCCTAGGGGGTTCATATTCTTGTTTATCCCTTTTCTGCACAGAAAACCCAAACAAAATTTCTGACTCATAGTGACCACGTAAGACAGGAGATGAGTTTCCCATACTGTACTCTATAGGAGTGGAAAGCCCCATCTGTCTTCCTAGGTACAGCTTTTGGTTTCAAACAGCAGACCTTGCAATTAGCAGTCCAACAAGTAACCACTGTGCCACCAAGCTTCTACTCCTAAACAGAAAGGGCAAGTATTATTTTCCTGGGAGACTGGGAACTAGTTTGGTTGAATAGCGGTCTTGAAAAACTCCCATCTTCCCACATTCGACTCTATTGTGCTTCTGTAACCAGCGGGACTTCTGCTCCTACGTTATCTCTCCTTTCTGTGGAACAGAGAGTAGCCACACTGGGGAGGCAGGGGCTGGCTGTAAGGAATGGTCCGTTCCTGGACATCTGTGGTCGGGGGCAATCTGGACAGGCCCAGAGGCAGGCGCCTGGCTGAATGGCGCTTTTTGATTGCTTAGTCCCCTCAGAGGACTGATGGCTGTAGAACCTGAAGGCTGTCTGCCTGATGCGTGGTTGTGGGCCTAGGGGGAATACTGCAGGCTTCGTGGAGTGGGGTGTGATGCAGGGTATATAAAGTGGGGTACAAAGCCAGAAATCCTGACCAGGGCTGTGAGAAACTAAACAAAAACACCCAGCTCAATGCCAGCAGCTCTTTCTGCCTCATTTCTGAGCCTGGGAAAGGAGCACGTGTCTGTGAAGTCCCAGTCGAGTGACTTAGTACTTTGGAGCATTGGAGACTTCTGCCCACAGTCCCTGTAGGCTAACTCTCTGCTGAATTAGCCTGGCTTCTCTCGCAGGAGCCCAGGGGAAGCCACTAGACCCACCTTAGCCCTGCAGAGCTGTGTGGTGGGCCGGGCCAGGGGCCAGGGCCTGTGTTGAAGTGGACATGGCGTGTGTGGTTTCATTGGACATGCCAGGGGCTGGGAACTTAGAAGCAAGGTAAGGAAATGCTTTCCTTTGAGACAAGTACAGGCCAAGAATGGCCTCTTGCTGTTGGCAAGGTGTCCGTCAGGTGAGTCCCAGGCGTTCTCAACAACCTGGTGGAATGGGTCAGGCCGACCCTGTCTTTAAAGGCGGTACACGCACGGCTCTGGGGGAAGATTGGTTCCTCTGCAGGGTCCATCGTGGCCTCACTGGGGGGCGTAGAACTGGGGCACGCAGTGGAGGCTGTAAGACTCAGGAAGAGGCCGTGACAGGTGCCCGCAGCTCCTCTGCAGTGTGAGCTCATACCTGCCCTGGCTTGTGAGGGAAGGTGTGTTTAGTATTCAAGCTTGTGGTGTGGGTGGGCATGGACAAATTTGGGTTGGATACTTATAAAAATGATTGTTAAAATGGTGGTGGGGTGGAGGGCCCAGACACATGAGAATTCCACTTTCTGGCAGGATGAAGTAATGGGCCGCAGGTCTTGGGAATAAGCAGCGGATCCTTCTGTCTTTGAAGATGGAGAACTAACTCCACCACTCAGGAGAGCCACCACCTCCAGGACTTAGCCACAAGCTCAGTGCCCCCGAGAAGCTGGTAGATGGATCCCAGGGCCCTGCTTTCTCATAAATGAGAGAATAGTGGAACTCTAGATTCTGGCTCCCCAGTCTCTTGAAACTCCTGGCAATCTTACAGAGCAGGGTAGGACAGCTCCTTAGGGTTTCTGGGACTGCAGATATTTATGGGAGCAGACAGCCTCGTTTTTCTCCTGTGGAGCACCTGGTGGATTTGAATGACCAACCTGTGGTTAGAAGTCCAGTGCTCAACTCCACAATATTACCAGAGCTGCTTTGAATGTCTTTGGGGAGCTTGCAAAATATAGGTGCCCAGTTTCTACCCTCTCCAAATGGATTCAGGATTTGGGGCATGGGACATCCTCAGAGAAGCATTGAGCAAATTCTTGGCAGCCATTGGGGGCTGGCAACTTGGATGGGGGCAGTAACAGCAGAGGGTGCAGTGTGCAGATGGGGACATGGAGTAGAGTAGGATCTGGCTGGACCTGGAGGGTTCAAAGTTCGGAAACTGAGGTGTGGGGGCGGTTTCCATCAACCCTGGAGAATGCTGCTCTTGAATCCTGGAGCCCATTGAGGTCTCTACCTTTCTCTGGTTTTGTGATGGATTTGGAGGTGGGCATAATGCATGGCAGGAATCAAGACGTGATTGAAAGAGTAGTTCAAAGTTAGTGGTGTTTGCACTCTGCGCCACGGCCCCTACCCAGATCTGAGGCTTCCCGGGCAGCTGTCTCTGTTCCTAGCACTTGTTTAAACCTTTGCTTTGCAAACATCAGCCCTGGGTGTATTTCTACCCATTCAGCGTCTTCATGGGGCATGCGATTCCCCACTCACCTGGAGTGTGAGGCTGGCATAACTAACAGCCCCCAAATAAAGCAAGGCCTGGTTCACCTAATGCCTTGGATTGCAGCAAGGGCCCATGGCTTGATTGGATTGGTTATGATGGGTGTCATCTAGCGAAATTGGGTTCCAGCAAAACTGCGTCCTTCCATAACTACAGCCACTACATGGTGGATTGGTGGTGGTTCAGTGTTTGACAGTGGGTGGAGCCTTGTTAGGAGTGGCCCCTCCCAGACCTGCAGAGTGAAACACTCCAGCAAGCACCCTGGGGATCCTATGGAGGGCTGTGTGTGGGAAGCATGTTCTTCCCTCTCCTCATCAGAGCTGTGTGCTGAGCGTCATCTTGGGCTGGGCCAGTCCCGGTGTCCAAGTGGCCCAAGGCAGAGCAGGGATGCCATGCGCGCCCCATCTGCCCAGCAGTGAATGAATGCATATCTGACGCCAGCTCCCTCCCACCTGCTAGCGCCCTGTGACCTGGAGGTGTGTGTCAGGGCAGAAATGCTGCCAAAGCACACATACCTCCCATGATCGGGGGCTTCAGGGTGGGTCTCTCTCGGGCAGAGGAGGCCAGGGGTGTTTGCTTCATGGAAGAGGTGGAGTGTGCCCAGGTCCTATCGGATGAGGCTCTCTGTAGGGCCAACCTTACAGGCAGGCATACACAGATGTGGACGTTAGCAGCCCCATCCCTGGGCTTGGAGTGAATGTGCTGTGCCCAGCCACAGCACATGGCTGCCCTCCACTGCAGTGGTTTTATTCCCTGCCAGTGGGTTTCTGTGGGCAGATTATACTGTATGTGGAACACCAAAAGGACCCAAGATAGGCTGGGACCTTGCCGTGGTCAACTCCTAACCCTGCCATGAGAGGCAGGGTTTTTTTTCATCTTCTCTTGAAGAGCCATGGGAACAAGTGCACGTGTTCACATGCTGTGTCGCATGGGCGGTCTTTGTGGGAAGACGGGCAGGCATGTGATAGCACTGAGGTCCAGCGACGTGGTCGTCCCGTCCCCGTCGTCCCCCGTTCCCCCCCCCTTGCAGGGAAGGCTGCGGCCGCCCCTGCCTGGTGGGATCTTTCCAGCAAGCACTAACTCTGCTTCCCCCCACCCCTCCTGCTGCCTCTCAGGTTTCTAAGGTAAACGGAGTCACTCGAATGTCATCGCTGGGTGCAAGTGCAAGCAGTGCCAAAAAGATGCGAGAAGTCAGACCTTCACCGTCCAAAACTGTGAAGTACACTGCAACGGTGACTAAGGGGACAGTCACGTACACCAAAGCCAAGAGAGAACTGGTCAAGGAAACCAAACTCAATCACCACAAGCCCAGTTCAGCTGCCAACCACATAATCTCAGGGAGAACTGAAAGTAGCAATGCAAAAACTCGCAAACAGGTGCTACCCCTCGGAGGGGCATCCAAGGCCGCCGCACCCGCTGTCAACGGCGTCAAGGTCAGCGGCAGGTTGAACCCAAAGTCATGCACTAAGGAGGTGGCAGGGCGGCAGCTGAGGGAGGGGCTGCGGAATTCCAAGAGAAGACTGGAAGAGGCACAGCAGGCCGAGAAGCCGCAGTCGCCTCCCAAGAAGATGAAAGCGGGGACTGGTGCTGCCGAAGCCCCCAGCCGGAAGGCAGTCCCCGTGCCCGCCCCAGAGAAGCCTCTGCTGAACGGACACTTGAAGAAGGACATTCCGAAGGACGTGCCTGAGAGAAGTTTGGAACGGAACCGGCCCAAGCGGGCCACGGCCGGGAAGGGCACGCCGGGCAAGCAAGCACATGGCAAGACGGAAAGCGCCTCCTGTGAAAATCGCTCTACCTCGCAGACGTAGCCCTTGCACAAGCCCCCAGATGTGGTGGGGGCGGCGGCGGCGGCGGCAGCAGCAGCAGTGGCGGCCACGGCCACGGCCTCCGCGGGCAAGCACGAAAAGGGCTGCGGCAAGTCCGGGTGGGCGGCCATGGACGAGATCCCTGTGCTCAGGCCCTCCGCCAAGGAATTCCATGACCCGCTCATCTACATCGAGTCGGTGCGCCCTCAGGTGGAGCGGTTCGGCATGTGCAGGGTGATCCCACCCCCGGACTGGCGGCCAGAGTGCAAGCTCAACGACGAGATGCGTTTCGTGACGCAGATCCAGCACATCCACAAGCTGGGCCGGCGCTGGGGCCCCAACGTGCAGCGGCTGGCCTGCATCAAGAAGCACCTCAGATCTCAGGGCATCACCATGGACGAGCTCCCTCTTATAGGTAAGGCTGCCAGGGCCACGCCTCCGGGGAGGGGCTACATGGGCGCAGGGCCGAGGCTACTGCCAATCACCCAGGGCTGCCCCTGGCAAAGTGCTCTGGGCTGGGAGGCCTACAAAAGCAGGGAGGTTTTCTTTTTTGGCCCGTTTTGCCATCCCTTAGCTCAGGAGGGCGGGGGTTTCGTGATCACTGGTGGCTCCTTCTGAGGCCCCGAGGGAGAATGTCTTCATGGCCACTCTATCCGATGCTGCCATTGAGCGCCAGACATTCCATGGTTTGTAGACGCAGTGTTCCAGACCCAGGCCTTAGTGCCCTGTCTGCCGACTTCTTCTTCCTGCCTCACCTCCGTGCCTCCCTCCCGAGCTTTATAAGGACCCATCCTACTCCAGCGTGGCCTCATGTCCATAATGGCGTCTGCAAAGACCCTGTTTCCAAAGCAGGTCACCATTCCAGGTACCAGTCTATCACAGTACTGTGGGCTGGAGCAGCATTCCCTTGTGGCCTCTGTCACCACACGGGCCTCCGTGGGGATCACTACCCTCTAGTCTGCATGCATCTGCCAGTGGCTGTGGATTTCAGCAGAGCTCCCCGCTCCTCGGTTCTCCTGCGCGGCCCCCCCCCAGTCTTTTACCTGCGAAGGTCTTGCTCTCTTTCATCATCAGACACAGGGCGGGAAGTCCTGGAGTGTGCCTGCCTGCCCCCGCCTCCATTTTGGGGACGTGCTGCCTAGTCTCCCTGGACACTGCACACATTTAAGGGTCGGGATTGGCAGGAAGACATGGCTCCGTGCCAAATGGAGCCTTCATTCTTCCTCTCGGCAGGTGGCTGCCTAAACTAATGCCTGTGTTAACAGTCATTTCATTTAAAAGATTCTTGGTTTTGGAGTCTGCTGTCACGGATGACATGCAATAGACACATTGAGGGGTAGGGTGGGAGCCTGCAGGGACCTATCCTGAGCCACAGGCAGCTCCTGTAGCCTGCGCTCTCTTGGCCAGGAGTCGGGGGAACTGCGTTGAAGTGCTCCTGGCTCCCCTTCCCTCCAGGACCGCAGCGCTGCTTAGACAGTGTTGCCTCCCTGAGTTGGAAATGACTTGAAGAAACAAGACAGCCTGTGTTGGGGCACCTGGTGGTCTGAGGCTGAACCCAGGCCCTGCCCTAACCCTCCTCACCAGCAAGGTCATGGTGCAGATCCTGGGTGTGTGTCCCCACACCCACCACTTCTGCTGCTGACCACCCCTTCCATGATCCCTTCGCCTCACCTGCTTTATTTGGCCTCCCGGCATGTGGCCATGCCCAGTGTCATTTAATGTTTGTCTCCCTGTAAACAGTAAGCTCCCTGAGGACCAGAACGTTCCATCTTGGCCTCTGACTTATACCTCAGCCCACAAGTGTCCCAGGCAGTTAGTTGGTGTTCATGAGCTTATGGGTGAAGGTGTGTCATTTGGTCCTTTTTAACCGACCCACTGTGTCCCCTTTCCCTGTCCCGCCCGCCCCAGGAGGCTGTGAGCTAGACCTGGCCTGCTTTTTCCGGCTGATTAATGAGATGGGTGGCATGCAGCAAGTGACTGACCTCAAAAAATGGAATAAACTCGCAGACCTGCTGCGCATCCCCAAGACTGCCCAGGACCGGCTGGCCAAACTGCAAGAGGCCTACTGCCAATACCTGCTCTCCTATGACTCACTCTCACCCGAGGAGCATCGGCGGCTGGAGAAGGAGGTGCTGATGGAGAAGGAGAGCCTGGAGCGGCGCAAGGGGCCCCTGGAGGGCCACACGGAGCACGACCAGGGCAAGTTCCACTCCCTGCCCCGCTTTGAGCCCAAGAACGGGCTCATCAATGGCATGGCCCACAGGAATGGCTTCCGCAGCAAGCTCAAGGAGGTGGGCCAGGCCCAGCTCAAGACCGGCCGGCGGCGGCTCTTTGCTCAGGAAAAGGAAGTGATCAAGGAGGAGGAGGAGGAAGAGGAGAAAGGTGTCCTCAATGACTTCCACAAGTGTATATATAAGGTAGGACCCCGGGCCACAGGAATGGGGCAGGAGCCTGGCTGGGCTGGTGGTTGGGCTCTTCAGGCCAAGAGCAGCTGCTGGGACATTGTAAGGCAGGGAAGTAGAGTGTGAGTTCAGTGTCCCCTTCCTACGCAGCTTGGTGCCTGCCTACCGCCTTATTCTGGTGGAGGGCTCGTAGCTTCCAGCCCCTTCTCTCCTTGCTCATTGTCCGCCACCTCCTTCCCCTAGCCCTATGTTGCTATGTCCTTCCTTTGGAGAGATGGGCCCTTAATAGAGCTGATGAAGGCAGGTCTCACTGTAACATGCCACAAAGGGCATGTGAGGCTCCATCTGTGTGTCGTGTGTCGTCCCCGCCACCCCCACCCCCCACCCCCAGTTCTGCCACATTATGCTGCAGCACCAGCCACCAAGATTTGCTCTTCCCAAGAAATGGGTAACGCTGTGCTGCCTCTGCCTGGCATCCTGCCTATGGGGCGGTGGCCTCCCATCCTGGCCTCCAGGGTCTTGCCGCCCAGGGGCCTGGCTTGTGCCATCCAGACTGCCTGACCTCTAAGGGTGATCCTAGTCCTGGTTTGATAGGAGGGAGGCTCTTCCTGGTGAGGCCTTGGGGGCTCTGGCCTACCTGTGTGACGAGAGAGAGCCCTGTTATTTGTGGGCTGACACACTTCAGTCTCCACTGTTCTAAGTCGAGTCGGGACCAGCATCAGCTTGCCTGCCTGCCTCACGCCCGGCCTATCCCTCACTGCTGCATCCTCCTGCCTCCGAGTAGCAGTCCCGCAGACATTCCAGAAACATGCAGGAGGAAACTATGGCTTGTCTCAGGACTCAGATTTTTTCAAAAAGTGTTTTATTAGGGGCTCATACAACTCCATACAACTCATCACAACCCATACATACATTAATTGTGTAAAGCACATTTGTACATTCATTGCCCTCATCATTCTCAAAACATTTGCTCTCCAC